AGCACTTTTAATAATTTTATTTGACAAGGTATATATATTAAAGTACTTTCAACAATTTTACTTAACAAAATATTTTACAAAACACTTTTAACAATTTTATTTTACAAAATATTTTACAAAACACTTTTAACATTTTTATTTTACAAAATATTTTATGAGATACTTTTAACAATTTTATTTGACAATATCAAACTCAAAGTAGAAAATAAAGCAGTTAAAAAAAATATTTAGCATAATTTGGTAAAATAAAAACACCGCAAAATACAACTTATTACCATAGTTTACAAAACAACTTATAACCTAATCATAAATAATTAACACGACAAAATGTCCGGATATCACAGCAAAATGAGGAATAACTCTGCATAATTGTACACAGCGAACTTCCTAGATAAAACCCGTTGAAATATGTACTTCAAGATACAATATGCCCAGACAAAGTTATTATTCACAGTTTTCATGCTCGAGAAGAATCTGACCAAAACATTTATAAAATCTTCCACGTTTCTCACCCTCGGTAAATCTTCCTCTATGTGCCAACACCTTGCACCGTCTGAGATTCTTCTCAACCGAATACGCGGGCATATCATTCCACGAATAGCAGGGACGTTTCGAATCCACTCGAGGGATATACCAAATATTTTTTTCCAAACGTACGAGGCACTCTACGGCCCCTGAAAAATGTTCAGGAAGAATCCATATCTCGAGGACGAACAATGTGTCGTTGTAAATCCGTTACCAAACTTTATTATCGCTTTAATGTTCGATAAAATGTATGATGCCGAGCAATTCTGGTATCTGTACGGTTCTGGATAATTTAGGGTTCTTGTTACATTGCCATCGTTTGTATTGTAGGGTATTTTAGGTGGGCATTTTTTGTGGAATGTTTTTAAGTGGAACTTTGGAAGTTTGGGGTTTTTGGGGTTTTTGAGGTTTGAAGATTTAGGGATGAGTTGAGGATTTGGAAATTTGGGATATGGGAGATTTGGGATTTGGGAGATTTGGGATTTGGGAGATTTGGGATTTGGGAGATTTGGGATTTGGGAGATTTGGGATTTGGGAGATTTGGGATTTGGGAGATTTGGGATTTGGGAGATTTGGGATTTGGGAGATTTGGGATTTGGGAGATTTGGGATTTGGGAGATTTGGGATTTGGGAGATTTGGGATTTGGGAGATTTGGGATTTGGGAGATTTGGGATTTGGGAGATTTGGGATTTGGGAGATTTGGGATTTGGGAGATTTGGGATTTGGGAGATTTGGGATTTAGGAGAATTGGAACTTGGGAGATTCGGAACTTGGGAGATTTGGAACTTGGGAGAATTGAAATTTGGGAGATTTAGAACTTGGGAGATTCGGAACTTGGGAGACTTGGAATTTGGGAGAATTGGAACTTGGGAGATTTGGAACTTGGAAGATTTGGAACTTGGAAGATTTGAAACTTGAGAGAATTGGAACTTGGGAGATTTGGAACTTGGGAGATTTGGAACTTGGGAGATTCGGAACTTGGGAGATTTGGAATTTGAGAGAATTGGAACTTGGGAGATTTGAAACCTGGAAGATTTGGAATTTAGGAGAATTGGAATTTAGAGGATTTGGAACTTGGGCGATTTGGAACTTGGGAGATTTGGGATTTGGGAGATTTGGGATTTGGGACATTTGGGATTTGGGAGATTTGGGAAATTTGGGATTTGCAAGATTTGGGATTTGGATTTAGCAATTAGTGATTTGGAGGTTTGGAATTTGGTGATTTATGGATTTGAAGATTTTGAGATTTGGTGATGTAGGCTTCAGCAATTTAAGGATTCGGGGATTTGGAGATTTGGATACTTAGGATTTGGAGATGTAGAGTGCGGTGATTTAGGTATTTGGATACTTGGAGATTTCTAGTTTTAGGAATTTGGAGATTTAGGATTTGGGGTTATGGGATTTAGAAATGTAACAGATTTGTAGATTAAGGGATTTGAATATTTATTGCTCTGTTGATTTGTAGATTCATGAATTTGGTGATTCGGAGAGTTATAGATTTAAATAATTGGAGAGTCATAGCTTTGAAAATGCGAAGTTTGATACATTTAGATATTTGTAGATTTGTAGCCCAAAAACTATAAAATCTGTAGATTTAATGGATGCGAAAATCTTGTCATACTCTTTCATTTTAATCCCCAATAACGAGTAAAAATCTTCCAATTCATCATTAGAATTCCCCACGCTATTCTCTCGCACTATTCGTGCGCCGAACACAATCAGAAGTTTCAAATGCTGAACCGAGTTGACGACTCCGTTACGGCTTATGGTTTCGACGTTTGCCTAATTCCATAAAGCGAGTCCGATGTTTGCATCCAGTTGATTGCGATTCAGCTAACCATATCAACTTATCGGCCGCACAAAGCGTTCCTCGATTCAACATCGTTGCTTTGTGAAAGCGTTCAAAATCGGATGTCCAACTTCAAAAATCGTTTCCTTCCATTTACGAACATCGCATATCCGAAAAGTATCTTCCTGAAGAGGCCTCGAATTATGAATTAACTCGTTTGTTGCATGAATGAACGCATCAAAAGAATTGTTCGCGATACAAAGCACGTTTAATTCAACGCTTTCGTGCAAAGCGCGTTAACGAAGGAACACGAAAAACATTTCACCGACGCGTACCAACTGTTTCCTGTGTACACGACTATTTTTACAGCTCGCTGTTTTGAAGTTCTCCGCAAAAGTAGTGAGCCTTGGTGGAAATAGTTTCATGGAGCACCGGCTTGCTTAACAGGCCGACAGTGATGTTAAATGACTGGACCACCGAACAAGTTAAACGTTCCCTCTTCTTCATTCTTCCCTTGCTCGACCCTTCACGCGAAAAATCACCAAGGGCGAATCCGTGTTTTTTAGACTCCACTGAAAACAAAGGGTTGCATGCTGAATCGCTTCTTTGCAAACATTCAACAAAGAGAAGGCTGTTTTATAATTTTGTTCTTTCATTAATTCTTCAAAATGGACGAAATCGTTTTAAATATTCGAAGGTGTACATTTTTCATTAATCTCTTCAGTTCTTGAATGCGTGTTTGAATTTTAGAGTAGACAAATTTAGAAATTTTTGAACATGTAAGTAAATTTGCAAACTTTTTTTATAATTATTGTTTTTCCACTAATTCTTCAAAATGGACGAAATTTCCAAAAATTGTAAAAAATAAGGGTGAGTCTCTTCTTGAGATTTTTAATTATTACAATAAAATTAGATAAAGTTTATACACTTATAATATGAAATAATATACATTTATAAGAATCTACACAACAATTTAAATAGTCAACATAAATTTCATTCTTAACATTTGAGTTAAATTTTATTGTACATTATTAGCAAATTCAGTGGTTAATAATTAAGGTCAATTTCATTCTGCACATTTACTAAATTCACTATTTAATAATTAATGAAAATTTTACTCTACATAATTACTAAATTCAATTTTTAATAATTGAGGCACATTTTACTATGCACTATTACCGAATTCAATTTTTCATATTTAAAGTAAACATTCTACATAATTCACAAGTACATTATTCAACAATTGAAATAAATTTTAATGAACATAAATAACTAAAAATATTTATTAAATAAATAGTTGTACATTCTAAAAAATCGTAACATAAATAATAAAATTATTATTGTATCAACGAAAAAGCAAAACGTGATCAACCCCTTTCCTCAATTTACGAATTACTTATTCTTGAAATACGACGGGTAGAGATATCTGCGTCGTTAATTAATCATCGTAAAACTAATACATAATGCACAAGCGAACGCTTAAAAGCATCTTACAGGAAGTGTTCGAAATAATCCCCATTGCTCTGCCCTCTGATATCGATGAATATTTCACGGGGTTTGAAAACATTTAGCCCGCCTCCAGCGGGATTACATGTACCCACCATCAATCGTTGTATATTTTTGATACTTTTCAATCAGACGGTAAAAGATCGTATTATTGGACACAATCGTTATTACTGTTATTAATTCTGAAGGTGATTCATATTTGTCGTATGGTCGCATCAATCAACTTCAAATATCAATTTCGAAATGTATGTAATACTTTTGAACGCGGCATTCAAGATGGAGTTATTGTCTAAATGACATTCTTTTTTAAAATTTAACAAAATTTTTAAATGTTATTAAATGTACTTTTATTGTGAACTACCAAAATTCCAGGGTAGTCGAATTTCATAAAAATGCAGGAAATCTCAAACTTCCTTACACATCCAATGTTGTAAAATCCTAAAATCCAACAGAAGAATCAATGAACGCACTTTTCGCTTTCGTAAACAGAATGCATTTCAGTGAGTAAGTTTTAAAATTCCTAATTTGCAAATTTGAGTCAAGTGCAAAAACGTGGGTAAACAGAGGGAAGAATAACTGCATAGTCAGAAATCAACGCATCAAAGTCACGAATGCATCACATCGGTTGTCAAAGTGTCCAATTGTGAGCGTTCCCCTTTCAACATCCTGTACAATCGCAATCGATTGAACGAGTACGCGGAAAGTTCAGACGATCGTTCCGTGTGTAAAATCTAGATCGAAATCCAGCGTGATACATTTCACAGACCCCAGTCCTGGCAAACGAACCGTCGAAATTACGTGATCGTGAATGGGTTTAACCGCTGTAAAGGCCCTTTGCGACTGCAATGGCACCGACCAGTCCTCTCGAGGGCAGGCCCTCGAATGTTTCGTGTCGGCAAAGGACATTCTGCCATCTTGTTCGCCTATTCTGAAAGCCACAGTGCGATCCGGCAAATGTGGCGTCCGGCGCATGCTACTCTCCACCCTTATACTCTTGTTCATAATGGCCGTCGTCTACTGCATATCTTTTGCGAACCAACATAGACGCTCCTTGCGTATACCAACGTTCTTAAGGCAACCTCAAACGGAAACACCACAAGAGGCCGCGGGAGAGGACGTGACAGAGTCGGTACAGGAAGCGGCCCCTGAGGACAGTGCTGAAGATCGTGAGCATTTCAATTGACTGACCGTGATACGAGAACACGAGATATGTCGATAATTATGCAGAACACAATTACCTTGATATGTGTTATTCTCAACATATTTACATATGTTCATATGTGACTTGTTTTCGTATCTTCATATATTTACGTAGTTCGAAATTCGAAGATATTCAAAAGTGTTAGCAACACCTTGTCATACGATTTATTTGTCGAGTGTGTCAGTCAAGCATCATACACATATGTTCATATGTAACATGTTTACATATCTTCATATATTTACGTAGTTCGAAATTCAAAGATATTCAAAAGTGTTTGCAACACCTTGTCATATGATTTATTTGTCAAGTGTGTCAGTCAGGCATCATACACATATGTTCATACGTAACATGTTTTCATATCTTCATATATTTACGTAGTTCGAAATTCGAAGATATTCAAAAATGTTAGCAACACCTTGTCATATGATTTATTTGTCGAGTGTGTCAGTCAAGCATCATACACATATGTTCATATGTAACATGTTTACATATCTTCATATATTTACGTAGTTCGAAATTCAAAGATATTCAAAAGTGTTTGCAACACCTTGTCATATGATTTATTTGTCAAGTGTGTCAGTCAGGCATCATACACATATGTTCATACGTAACATGTTTTCATATCTTCATATATTTACGTAGTTCGAAATTCGAAGATATTCAAAAGTGTTAGCAACACCTTGTCATATGATTTATTTGTTAAATGTGTCAGTCAAGCTTCATATACACATATGAACACAATATTGACTTAATCTATAATTTTCAAGGCAGTTGCTACCTAATTATTAGTACAACATTAAGACAACTAAAGAATGTTAAAATGTTAGACATATTTTACCTTCAGTAATCCTTGATGATACAGATTATAATTAAAATTGGACCAAACTCCAATTGCAATGAAAATACTGGTTTATCACATTCCATAGTGTGCGTCACATGTGTGCATCACATCTCGCAGGATAAGGGGTTAAAACAAATACAGAAAGTTAACGTAACTCAATTTTATATTCAATGATTGTTCACTAAGCAAAGTATCATTGAACATAAACCTCGAATCAAAAATTTGAATGAAACAAATCAACCCCGTGAGAATATATTAATATGTTGCACTTGTATGATATAAATATACCTCGTCATCTCGTATCACGATTACATTGTTCCCCGAACACGATTTAGCGAACTATGAACGTTTCAGCTCCAGAAGAGTAACAGAAACGTCGAGGTAAACCGAGAACGGAAACGAACTGAAGGAAGAAATTCGGCCATATACGATTTGTTTGCTTGATATCTGAATTAAACATCAGAAGTGTCCGTAGCCCGGTGTCGTTTCTCATTTCCGGTGGCAGGGTTTAGACTCTATTCGTTAGATGATACATTTCACGGGAAATCACGAGAGCGATAAACTCTTGGCGTCTATGGTCGTTGTAAAAGACTGCGAGTAAGTTCGGAACGAAAGGAACGAGTAAGCGAACCGTTTGATTCCGGATAACGAATGCGTCGACCGCGTGTTCATAAATCTATGCCCGAAACACCGTGCTCGAACTGCATTTTTCATTCGATGCATTACTTGTGGTACGAAGTAACGTTTCACGAAACAACGCCGATACAGAATGCTGTACTCAGTGGACTTTCTTTGAAGGTATACTTGACAAGTTTTTGGACTATTTATACTGAACATATTTATGTTTCTGAACTTTCATGTCTTTAAATTTATCGAATGTTCAAATCGTGAAATATATACAAATTTACAAAGGGGACTATAATTTAGATAATTTGATGTTTGAGTTGTTGTACATGTTTTTATTATCATTTTTTGTTTATCGCTTAGTCATATAACTTGTGGTAGTATATTATGCTTAATGATATAGCACGACACGTCGCTGGGTTATAGAATGCGTGGTGAAGTAATACATGGTCTATGGAAATCCTGGCTATTTAAAACATGAGAATATAACACGTGAAGATATAGCACGCGACAATATAGCGCGTGTCAATATGTAACGTATCGCAATATACATGTGTCAATATAACGTATGCCAATATGTATCGCAATATACAGCACGTGGCGATATAACGTATGCCAATATACAACGCAATAGCAGTATAATGCATAGAGATACAATGGTAATATAAAATACGTGATCATACAGTACATACAGATACAACGTACCAATATATGTAGATACAACACGTGTATCATAATGACAAGAGAACACAACCCATAGCTGACAATACAACCTCTCGCAATACAACACTTCATGATACAATCTGTCTAAACACATGATCGTCTAAAAAAAAATCTGTAACCTCTTTCAAACTTCTCTCAAAACCAATATCATATAAAACAATTCCTCGAGAATATTTCTATCATTCACAACCAGTGAAAAGTCGATAAAAACGACACGCAGTCTATTGATCTTATAGAAAGTAAATAAAAATCGTTCAGTCGGAATCGTACAATTGTTCGACCAGCAACAAGATTCGCGTGAGTTCGTTATCGGTGATATGCTCCTGCAGAGACAGAACGAAGCACACGAAGACAAATTTGTCCACAATTTCTTCTCTCAATTTTTCGCTGGATACGTCCGAATATTCGGATTTCACGGTGTCGACGTATAACGTCAAAATTTCTCGAACCTTCGTAGGCCCGTGCTCGTGGCTCGTGTTATACAGTAGAATGGGTCCTAGATCGACAGCCGGTGAACAATATCTCATTGTTTGCCAGTCGATCACCTTCGCGTCGATCGGTTTCCCGTTCTGGTATTTGAACAGCAGATTATCGTGCGAAAAATGACCGTGACATATCGTAGACACGTCGTTCACGTCCCCAATCACGTTTTTCAGCATCTCCATCGGGCTGTTGTCTAACCTTCGCTTTACGTCCTCTGCTAATCGCGAATTCGGCATCGATTCGAGAATGTCTGTCATCCTGTAAACAATTCGGGATTAAATAGTTTGAGTATTTAATTTTGTGTCGATTGGTTTTTGTCGGGTGTATTAGGGCGATAGAAAACGTGAGAATGGATTATTTTTATGATTAAATTATTCAAATTTTTCTAATTAACAAATTGCAAAGATACGAAATTTGCAAAGTTAAGACATCCTTTAATTAACAAATTCTATAACTTACAAATACAGATAATTTTAATTCTTCAAATTTTCCAACTTCGTCATTTCTAAATAATTAAATCTGCAAATCCTCTAATTTCCGAATTTCCAATTTTCAAACTTTGGAGTCTCTCAATTTCTAAAATCCCTTCTCAAAGTCTAAAATCCCCAAATTCTAAAATTTTCAGCTCTGCAATTCTCAGAATAATTATTCACAAGCATCTGCGTTGTCAGCAATATAATTTTCACGAGAATGAAATATAATTAAACGGTTTAAGAACTGAAATAATTATTCATTTTCCATGACAGATACGGGCTTAAGTTTTCTCGCGTAATTTCTGAAAATAATTTGTTAAATGTCTACTCTGTCTACCATATGAATAATTATCGTGACGCGAGAAAATCCTGTAACGATAATCTCGATCGTTTATTTCCATGATGTGTCAATTTTAATTGATCAATATAATGTATCACTGGAGAAAATTGTGTCGGTAAAAATTAAAATACAGCGCCATCTAGCGGATGGTGTTTTGGAGCTGCGCCTGGTAGCAGGATCGCAGAAAAGCGAGGAGGTATTCGGAGTAGCAAGAGGTCTCCCGCGCAGTCGTGCGCATGCGCAGTGCGTTGGACCTCGCGCCACCTCTTCAACATGGCGTCTCGTGAACAAGAGACATTGACGATAGAGAATAGTCTATTACTCCTTCTTTCTGTACAATTTATGCATGTTTATGATTAAAAAACAATTTCTGTTCTATTATATATTTTTGCATACAGTATTTGTTAAGATTTTAGTTGAGAATAATTAATTATTAATAGTTACGAGTAAGAGTAGTACGACTAGTTTTAACGGAGATTTCATTAATGAATTTTGTATAAGAGTGTTATAATTAAATTAAAATTCATTTTACAACCATAAAAGTGTATAAATTGTACTGAGAAAATGAGTAATTAATAAATGTATTCCACCATTAATTCGATGTAGTAATGACGCCATAATGGATAGGCAGCGCAGGGTTGACGTCACTGCGCACGCGCACTGCGTTCGAACTCGCGCCACTTCTTCAACATGGCGTCCCGCGCACGGGAGACATTGATGATAGAGAATCATTAATTACTCCTTTCTTGAGTATAATTTATGAATGTTTATGTCTAAAAAACGATTTCTGTGTTATTGTTTATTTTTGCATACAATATTTGTTAAGATTTCAGTTGAAAGTAATTAATTATTAATAATTATGAGTAAGAGTAGTATGATTAGTTTTAACGAAGATTTCAATAATAAATTTTGTATAGGAATGTTATAATTAAATTAAAATTCATTTCGCAACCATAAAAGTGTATAAATTATACTGAGAAAATGAGTAATTAATAAATGCAATCCACAATTAGATCGATGTTCAATAAGACACCATAATGGATAGGCGGCGCAGGGTTGACGTCACTGCGCATGCGCACGACAGCGCGGGAGACCTCCTGCTACTCCGAATACCTCCTCGCTTTTCTGCGATCCTGCTACCAGGCGCAGCTCCAAAACACCATCCGCTAGATGGCGCTGTATTTTAATTTTTACCGACAGTTTTCTCCCATGACACATATCATAAAACCGATAAAGCTTGAATTAACAAATTATGAAATCGATCGAGATTATCGATGGAGACAGATTTTCTAATGTCACACCAATTAATTGATTCGCGTCAATCTGTTAATACTCGTTCAATCAAATTTGGATTCCCGTTTCGATTGTGTACCGATTAATTCTCCTCACACGGAAGTTTCGATACCATTAGCATTGACATCGATAACAGCAATATTACCGCAACGCTAAATGCGCCGCGACAGCACTAAAACGCGTTCAACGATGTATAATTCGCGTCTTTTGTCGCGGTGTTTCAGAGTTGATCGAATTTACCTACGATAACCCTTTGTCGCGATGCTAATTTAACTTCGACCTGGAAAACTGTTTATTCAACCTTTGACTACAATCGCTAAATGGCGTTAGTGATATTCCAGCGATATTACAACGCCTCTACTATTCGATTATTCTCCGCGTCGACTGATATTTGGGTCGAAAACTTTTTTCTGGTCAATTCGGTTCTGTCCGAGTTACTCATTGAATTCGAAACTTGTTGCCACGGTACAATGTATTTGAAAGTTTTATGAATAACTTTGATACGCTTTATTTGATCAATGATATACTTCGATACAGAGATAATGTCCTAAAAATGTTGTTTGAATTTTTGATTAATAAAGTGGGGTGATATTTGAAGCAGAGTCGAACAAAATTTAATGTGATAAGAATGCAATCCGTAAGCAAATAATTGCTGAATAATCGTCCATCGAATGTCAAAAAAGTAATCGAAACTGTTATATTAAAAAACACGATAGATTATCACGAAATTATTATACTTTTTTTTATGATTGAATTAGTACTCAACGAACAGTAATACTGTAAATATTTTTTCAAATATCATTTATCGAATAATTAGAGAGATTATTTATTTATAACATTTTGATATGGCAGGTTCAATAAAAAATTATTTACACTACTTTATCTTAATAACGATGATAATTACAATTTCAGTAATGAATTATAGTAGTCAAAAACAACTTCTTGATTTTTCGAGTTAGCAACGTTTTCATATGACTAATTTGAGAATTAAATTTGAAACTTCTTGGCACTGCGCAAAATGGTAAAATAAAATTTGCTGCACGAATGAGACGACGCTAATTTTTAATATAAACATCAATGCAGAGATAACAAGTTGATAAAAATATTTCCATGAAGCGATTTTTAATATTTTCAAAAATTAATTGCTCCTTGAATTCACAGGTTACAAATCAACTTTACTTTATTAAATTTTATTTTATTTCATGAATTTAAAAATTTTTAAATTTGTCACTGCAAAGTATTAAAAATTTCATAAATAGTGTAACGATATATGAATTTCAGTGCAGATGAATTTCAATCAGATATTAATGTGACAATAATTAAATTTGAAATTGAATATCCAGAAACGAAGAGAACATAAAACTCTCAGAAATCAATTATGTATTATTGACTCACTTAACCGAGGTCATTAATTAAATCTTCGGGCAAACTACTGCCTATTTATTCGGCGTTCAACGCCACAGATTCGATCACCTAAAATAGAAACAGTATCGAGTATGAATCATTCAGATAAGTCGGCCATTAATCAGCAGTCATTTGTTGTGTCAAAGTCACGTAACATTATGTAGTCGATTGTAATGCTCATTAAATAACGGCAGAAAAACAAGGACATACTCGTATTTATACCTACGATCACGCGTAATATGACATCACCAAATTACTCAGATCAGTGATTCTAACCGGTGTTCCTTGAGACGAGTTGTAAACATCTGATGAACATTTATTGTACAAACTGCATTCATTTGTGGAAATTGCACATTTATAGTGGAATTATTTTAGTTATAAAATTGGGAGATTTTATTAAATACTATTTAGTATTTAATTTTCTAGTTTGCAGTTTGCAATAATTTATTTTCTATTCTACATTTTATAGTCTGTAATTTTTAGTTAAGTTTTGAGGAAATGATTTTTGGGATCTACTTGTGATTCACTTGAAATTTGTTTGAATTTTAAGAATGATAAGTTTCAGTTTTTCAACATCTTCGAAGTACAATTTTTAATTTAAAAAATTTCAGAGTTCCATCATTTTTAAGTCTACAGGTCTTGAATTTAAAAAATTAGTCTCAAGATTTCAAACATTCAGGGTCACAAAGATACGAAGATTGTAAACTTTCAAATTAACTAAATTCTTAATGCCTTAAACTTTTAAACTGTGTAGATCCAAAGATCCTAATATTATAAAGTTCCTTAAGTAAGTCTAAACTTTCAAAATACAGAAGTTCCAGAAACTTAAGATCCAAAGATCACAAAAGTCCAAACTTCTGAAATCCCAAAGTCTTCTGCCTTTAAATATTCAGAGGACTCAAATCCACTTAACAAACTTTAATCCTCTAAAGTTCCAAACTTCACCAGTTCAAAAATTCTCAAATCCCCAAATCTAGAAAACAGATCCAAACATCCAAAAGTCCAATCTACAAAGTTCTAAAACTCTTAAGTCTGGAAGATTCCAGGTACTAAACCTTCAAAGCTCCAATCTTCATCAGTACAAATATTCCAAAATCCCCAATCTAGAAAATAACCCCAAACATTCAACCGCCCAATCTACAAAGTTCAAAAACTTAAAAATTCCCAATATTCCAGATATTAAACCCTTAGAGTTCCAATCTTCCCCAGCCTAAAACTTCAAAAATCCCCAAACCTAAAAAACAATCCCAAACATCCAAAAGTCCATCCTACAAAGTTCCAAGTAACTTAAGTCTCAAAATCCAAAAATTCCAAAATCCCCAAACATCCGAAACTCCAACCTACCAAAGTTCCAAGTAACCCAAGTCCTAAACTCCAAAACTTCCAAAATCCCCAAACTTAAAAAACAATCCAAAACATCCAAAATTCCATCCCCCAAAGTTCCAAATAACCCAAGTCCTAAAGTCTAAAATTCCAAATTACCAACATTCCTCCCATCCCAAAGTTCCCCAATTCCGAAACTCCAAACGACACAAAAACCTCAAAAATCTCTAACCTGGTCGATCTCTTCTCGTACCGCTCGATGGTCTCCTCGTTAAGAACAATCTCCAGCAATTTCGCCTGAAATTCTCTGAAGATGTCCGGTTCCGTCGCCTTTAACCTCAACCCGGCAGCATGAAACTTCCCCAAAACCTTGGCACAGAGTTTCAAGTGATCGTCGTCCAGTTCGCCGTCCACCTGCGAGTAACCAGCCGCTTCGAGGTCCTCGAAGACGAGCACGGGTCTGCCGTATCTACCCAAATCAGCCAGGTAACACTTGGGGATGAAATCGGTCCCGTACTTGAGGGTCATCTTCGAGTAGAACATCTCCTCGTTCTGGAACGCGCTGAACGCGGTCGAGTCCTGCTCCATTCCTTCGGGAAGCAGCTTCACCAGCAGGGAGAAAGTGCAGGGCTCACCGGAGAACAGAACGACTACCGTCGCGCGATAAATCTCGCTGGTTCGACTCACTTCGTCTAGACGTACCACCGCTGACTCCAGCTCGACGAACTCCCTGGAATTCGTTGGACAGAAGCAACGATCGTGGACCATTTCCGGGATTAGATGATGCTCGATGTACTCGATGCTTTGTTCCCAGGCCTCGTGGGACTTCATGGTGGAAAATGTGGAATCGACTGAAAACGATTGGTTTCGGGATAAGTGCATTGGGGTAGTGTCAAGTCATCGATTTTGAGGACAGTTTTTGGGGAGGAGGTGGGATGGGAATGGGGGAGATAGATGGATGTTTGTGGTGATATTGGGGGGTTGGGAAAATGTTTTTAACTTGACAGATTAGTAATTTTTTGAATTTTTAACTGGTTAGGTTAGCAAGTTTGTACTCGTACGTTTCTAACTTGTCAGATGATCAAGTGTCCAAATGTACAACTAGCAAATTATTAGGTTTCTGAATTATAAAGTTTGCAAGGTTTCATTTACAAATCCTCAACTAACCAACTCTCAAAAGATTCCAATTTGCAAGTTTCTAAATTTCTAATTCTATAAAACTCCAAATTCCTAATTCTTCAAATACCCAAATCTCCAAATTCCCAATTCCCCAATTCCCCAATTCCCCAATTCCCTAAATCCCCAAATCTCCAAAGTTCCAACTCTCCAAAGTCCCAACTCTCCAGAGTCCCAACTCTTCCAAGTCCCAAATCTCCCAAGTCCTATATCTCCAAATTTCCAAATCCCCAAAGTCCCAACGCTCCAAAGTCCCAAATCTCCAAAGTCCCAAATCTCCAAAGTCCCAAATCTCCAAAGTCCCAAATCTCCAAAGTCCCAAATCTCCAAAGTCCCAAATCTCCAAAGTCCCAAATCTCCAAAGTCCCAAATCTCCAAAGTCCCAAATCTCCAAAGTCCCAAATCTCCAAAGTCCCAAATCTCCAAAGTCCCAAATCTCCAAAGTCCCAAATCTCCAAAGTCCCAAATCTCCAAAGTCCCAAATCTCCAAAGTCCCAAATCTCCAAAGTCCCAAATCTCCAAAGTCCCAAATCTCCAAAGTCCCAAATCTCCAAAGTCCCAAATCTCCAAAGTCCCAAATCTCCAAAGTCCCAAATCTCCAAAGTCCCAAATCTCCAAAGTCCCAAATCTCCAAAGTCCCAAATCTCCAAAGTCCCAAATCTCCAAAGTCCCAAATCTCCAAAGTCCCAAATCTCCAAAGTCCCAAATCTCCAAAGTCCCAAATCTCCAAAGTCCCAAATCTCCAAAGTCCCAAATCTCCAAAGTCCCAAATCTCCAAAGTCCCAAATCTCCAAAGTCCCAAATCTCCAAAGTCCCAAATCTCCAAAGTCCCAAATCTCCAAAGTCCCAAATCTCCAAAGTCCCAAATCTCCAAAGTCCCAAATCTCCAAAGTCCCAAATCTCCAAAGTCCCAAATCTCCAAAGTCCCAAATCTCCAAAGTCCCAAATCTCCAAAGTCCCAAATCTCCAAAGTCCCAAATCTCCAAAGTCCCAAATCTCCAAAGTCCCAAATCTCCAAAGTCCCAAATCTCCAAAGTCCCAAATCTCCAAAGTCCCAAATCTCCAAAGTCCCAAATCTCCAAAGTCCCAAATCTCCAAAGTCCCAAATCTCCAAAGTCCCAAATCTCCAAAGTCCCAAATCTCCAAAGTCCCAAATCTCCAAAGTCCCAAATCTCCAAAGTCCCAAATCTCCAAAGTCCCAAATCTCCAAAGTCCCAAATCTCCAAAGTCCCAAATCTCCAAAGTCCCAAATCTCCAAAGTCCCAAATCTCCAAAGTCCCAAATCTCCAAAGTCCCAACTCTCCAAAGTTCCAACTCTCCCAAGTCCCAAATCTCCCAAGTTCCATATCTCCAAATTCCCCAATCTCCAAATTCCCAAATCCCCAAAGTCCCAACCCTCCAAAATTCCAAATCTCCCAAGTCCCAAATCTCCAAATTCCCAACTCTCCAACGTCCCAAATCCCCAAAGTCCCAACTCTCCAAAGTCCCAATTCTCCAATTCCCTAAATCCTCAAATTCCAAATTTCTCAATTCCCCAAATTGCTAGAACCCCAAATTCTTGCATCGCCAAATCCCCAAAACCCCAAATCCCCAAATTCTTAATTCTCGAAATCCCCAAATCTCCAAATTTCCTAAATCCTCAAATTCCTATTTCCTTAATTCCCCAAATTGTCAAAATCCCAAATTCTTAATTCTCCAAATCCCCAAATCCTCAAATTCCCATCTCCCCACCTCCCAAAATCCGAACTACCCAAACCTCCAACCTCCCAAAATTCAAATTACACTCCAGAAATATCTGCACACAACTATCTTATCTATCACAGAGCAACAACATCGATAACACATTTTGAATAGCCCAAACTCAAATGATACAGATAAGCAATTCCTACTACCTTCTTGCAAATCCACCATCGTCGATGATCCTCGTCGTATAAAGTTATCACCAGTTCACAAGTTTTTCAAATACTTGCATGAAAGTGGAACTTCGAATCCAACCTTCTGGAATGCTATCTTGCCTATCTTGCTGGAATTGGAACGCTGATAACTTTCTTCGGTCAACATAAATGACGAAGAAACCTTGCAACCAATTCCTAAAAACTTCTTTCGACTTCGATATTAGATATTTACGATAGCATTCACTTTTTAATACCACCTTCAAACGGGGTTCTATAAACTGTATTTTCTGAGCTGAGTTCGTTGACCTTAGTTCTTTAAATTGGATTCTTTACACTGAGTCTCTTAAATTGCGTTTAAACTGTGTTCTTTAGATTGAGTTATTTTAGTTGAATTAAAATGATCTTTTTTAATCGAGTTCTTTGAGTTCATTCAACCGAGTATTTTTTTGTACACAAACATTTACACGTATAGCTGCATGTCACTTGAAACTTCATATAAAGAACTGCGATACGATTTTTAAGACACCGAAAATCGAAGACACTGATTTTCGACTGGGATTATAAACTCGAACGCGCGTGAAATCGCTGGCGATAAAACGGTGTTTATCGTTAACCTTTTTTAAAACGATGCACGCGTCGCGACGACGAGCCGGTCGCGAGTAACGAACGAGAAGTATCGTCGGAAATCATTATGCTTACCATCTCCCCTCGCTACCAAGATAATGAACCTCTTATCTTCCAATGACGTCTTCCAACGTCACAAACAAGCTTATACCACGATACGCGTCTGCGACGACCGACCACGTCCTGTACTTTCGTTAATCCCTGATCTCGGATGAAATTGGTCAGCTGAAGAGAAGCGAGTAGCTTCGACGGTTGTTCCAGTGATATTACTGGGCTGATGAAATTATTAACACGCTCGAGATGAATCGTTTCATACTGACTCTTTCATACTATTACTATAACATTCTTATTTTTTTTCTTTATAAAACATTGGTGTTGAGGATGTATATGTTCTAATTGAAGGCCAGTTAAATGATTGCTCGTTTATTATACATGTTCTCATAATAGACTCAATTTGTCATTCTTTATAATTTTGTCATGGTTTATCATTCTTTGTAATTTTTTCATCATTTATCATTCTTTTTCCATTTAGTCATACTAATTCGTGATAATATGATACATGACCCTTCTACACGTGGCAATATAACGTGTGACTGTGTACTATGTATCAATATTAATGTGTAGCAGCACTAAAATGTAATGACACCAACGCGTAACAATACAACACATGACCATTTCATACGCGGTAATATAACGCGCGGCGATATAACGAGTGACTGTATAACAATATTATCAATATTAACGCGTAGCAATACTAATAGGTAGTGACACCGAAACGTAACAATAAGGCGTAGCAATGACTCTTCGGTATGTGGCAATATAACACGTGGCGATATAACGTGTGACTGTGTAACATGTGTCTATACTAACGCGTAGCAATACTAACATGTAGTGACACTAACGCGTAGCAGTACAACACATGATCTTTTTAGACCTGGCAATATAACGCGTGTCGATATAACGAGTGACGGTGTAACAATATTATCAATATTAACGCGTAGCAATACTAACAGGTAGCGACACCGAAACGTAACAATAATGCGTAGCAATGACTCTTCGATATGTGGCAATAAAACACGTGGCGATATAACATGTGACTGTGTAACATGTATCAATACTAACGCGTAGCAATACTAACATGTAGTGACACTAACGCGTAGCAATACAACGCATGATCTTTTTAGACGTGGCAATATAACGCGTGGCGATATAACGAGTGACTGTGTAACATGTATCAATATTAATTCGTAGCAAAACTAACGTACACTAATACTAATGCGTAGCAATACAACGCATAAAAATTTCATACGCGGTAATATAACGCGTGGCAATATAATGAGTGACTGTGTACCATGTATCAATACTAACGCATAGCAATAGTAACATATATAAATACTAATGCGTAGCAATACAACGCATGAAAATTTCATACGTGGCAATATAACGCGTGGCGATATAACGTGTACGAATTAGAAACATGCGGCAATATAACACATAAAAATATTAACATCTACCGATATAACATATGAAAATATCAGAACGCGACGATATGACACGAGATGATATTAGCAGATAGCAATACAACGTATGGTTATATAACATGTAGGTAATGATACGTTATACGTTAAGTCGAACGAGTCAGAAAAATATCTACATGGTGACGAAATAATGTCATAGGCCAACTACTTTTTTTGGTTGAGAACCGTATTTTGCAACCAGCCATTCCGCACAATTTATGTGTTTTCAATTACCAAAACATTATGTAACGAATATGGAAATTGTTACTAATGAACACTTACTCAACATAATTGGTAGTTTCTGCTTTCAAACGATATGCGTCCCAGTTAATCGAACACGGATAATGTGAAGTCAACAGGCAAACACATTTGACTTTCAATACAAGAATATATTACTGAATCGGTTTTGATAAGTGTCGTTCGGATTTAATTGTATATTAAATTGTATATTTTAATTGGCATATTTAAAAAGACGTGCAAGGTATCGAATTTAATTAAACGAGAACAACGAACGAATTAATTAATTAAGGTAGAAGCGTCGTTCTCGCGATCGACGTTGGTTGGCTGAGAAGCAAAGACAGAAAATTAGATAATGACTGTGCAGTTAGAGGCGCGGTAATTATAATAACAAGGAAATCTTCTCAGACGCCATTCGTTGAATTTCGCGGAGCTCCAAAGCGTCGTTTCTCTGCTCCTGTTACGAAAAAGCTTCTCGAAGCACGCAACCGAGGTGATTTTAATTGAAACGTTTACAATTTTCCTGGAAAATTCGCCAACTGCACAGTTTATTCTTGCTGCTTGAAATTACATAATTGATGTTATTTTATGTTGTAAATAAATTATTCATTTGTACTATAACACTTCTCGCTTTTTGGAACAAACTTTACTATAACAAGAAAATACCTGCAAGTTTTTATTCTGAATTTGTTAAGCGGAGAGATATTCGCGATTTAGTGTAAAAAACACGTGGCGACGTAACACGTGAAAAAGAACAAGGTATTTTCTTACAATGGTGCACCTTTAATTATCCGTTTGTCCATATCTCTTTCATTTAAGTAATCTCTCGTCAATATCGACATAACCTTGCGAACTTTTCAATTTATTATTTCACGGTATCGATCAGTTCGCTATCTGGAGCCTTTGTTCAATGATTCACAATTTCAAACAAATCGAGCGGTGTTCGCAATCTCTCGAGCCATTATTTCATCGTTTAGCTGCAACTTCACACACCGGCAAAGTGGAATTTACCAACAACCCGGCACACACCCGTAAACCAATCCCAAATCCGACAATCCCTTGCGTAATTCAAAATTCCGAGTGACAGGACCGCTACACGATTCACCACGGAACCCGTGCAAACGATAGAATCGATCACTCCACGAAGAAACCTTGACAAAAAAAAAGAGGAAACAGAAGCTAACCTACCTTATCGATGATTAATATACCGTACAATGTGCCGCTAGCACCACAGATTATGCCAACCCAGACCGTACCCGTTCAAACGAGTCATAATAATTTCCAGGCTTTCCAGCAACCGCAAACGAACACGCAACAAATGCAAACTAACCCTGTTTACCCTCTGAATCCGCAAGGTACATATTCGCAAATATTGTAATAGTTATTAGTAACTGTGTGGGTATCGATTATCGATGGAAAGAGATTCGATGGAACATTGTTTGCCTACTATTACTGCCGAGCGAATCCCTGTCAATTTAACGGTTTATCAGTTTACCCTTTCTTAACATTTTCACTGTTATCATTTATTTGTTTATTTATTCTGTTGCTATTTTTTTAATTTACCTAGAGATCACCGAAAACATTTTATTGCAGAATTAACTGTAGATATTACGCACGCAGTTTGTAAAAAATGTTAATAATCCAAACAAAGAAATTAAACATTGATCTGCAGCAAGACCTTAAGTCTCAAATTATGCAGAGAACGAAACTCAGCATAACTGAATATAAATAAAAGTTAAGATTATAAGCAAAGGATAAAGATGTAGAACGAATGTATGTTTCTGTCCAGATCAGTATAAACCTCCAATGTACCAAGTCCAGCAGTCGGACGTGTTCATGGCGAATCAGTATGTCCCGAACGTATTACAAGGAAGACCGTGTCCACCGATTTTCCATCCGTTCAACAACGTCCCACCGCCCGTGCAAACACAGCCAAACTACGGTCCACTGCTTCAAAACATTCTGGAACAAATTCGTGGTCAAGTCAGCAACACAGCTCCCATATTTATCCTACCTGGCGGTTGTCAACAGTCCACAAATCATCATCAGCAAGCTGGCACCGGGAGCCAAGTAGGCGGTCCCCAGGCGACGGGACAACCGACAAGCTTCAATTACCCCTCGTCAGTCCACTGTCCACCCACGTTCTACCCCTTTCCAATCCCGATGCCCGTTTACGAGCCATTCGCCGGCCAAACTCGCAACAGAGAAAGTTCTCGGGGTTGCGGATGTTGCCACAGACGGCAAGAATCACTGGACTCGAAGAACTACTCGTTAAACTGTTGCTGCAACCTCGCCGAGCAAGAGGATCATCGGTGCACAGCGACAAACGACGACACCATTTGCTCGAAACGCAATTGTCCAGCTTCGGTGAGCTTGCAAGCTCTGGCCTCACAATTGTTGTCGTTACAGGGAATCATCTCGTGCGCGGCCACTCGTTTGATACTGAGAAAAGTGCCCGGATCGAACATCACCAACACCATGGAGGATACCATGGAGAAAGCGCAGAAAGCTATAACCATGTTGACCAAGGATCAGCTGCTCACCGAATCGAGGAACGCGCACCAAGTGAACGCGTTGATCAATCTTCATATGACAACCAATCCACCCGCGAATATTGTGCCGCTGCTGACGCTGATACAGTTGAAGGTGAACGTGCTGAAGGCGCAGATCGAGAGTCTCATCAACAAGAAGGTGATGGAGTGCCAAGGATTTGGATATGAGGTACTCGAGACTCCTAGTATTTTCTCGTGCTCATTATTAGTTTACTTTGGTATTTTAGGGTATTTTAGGATTTATCTTTGCATTTGTGCATTTTTGAATTTTTGGGTTTTAAGATTTCGGAGTTTTAGAATTTTGAAACATTCTGAGCTATGTTTGATACTAGGTTTGGTTCATAAAAATTTGAAAATAGATTTTCCTTTAGCTTCCTTAGATTTCCCTAAATTTGTTAGACTCTTCTTAGGCCTAAGCCTAGCTCTAAACTTTCCCTCGCCATAGACTCCCACTGGCATACCCGTCGTTGCCCATGAAATCTTAATTTTCCCGTCACGGGTTTAGTAGACGGAATTGTTAGTGAGAGTTCGAACGAGAACTTTCACCACCAAAATTGAGGTTTAACCACCCTACCCCACAAACAAAGCGGCGATAAATCATCCAGGTTGCCTTCATAGTTACGCTCAGTTCACGTTAATCAAGCAGAGTAGCTCTAATTATAAAGAAAGATAAATGCATGTCTAAATTAAAAAATTAGATAACTTTTCTTAAATTGCCTATTGACTGTAACTACAACAACAGATATTAATTTCTTATCTTTCGATTCATTTTCCCGCTTCAATTTCAAAATGTGCATTATATGTCAGCACGTTGAGTCCCGCTCGTATCATCAGAACAAACGTCCCAGTTTCTGGTAAATCAAGATATACACTTACGCCAACAATTTCCTATCACCTAGTATACACATCACTAGATTAGCTTCAATTCCCATGCATATAGTGGCGAACATTATCAAAGCATGCACTCTGCCGCGTCAAACGTGGAACATCATTTACGCGACCCTCATTTACATTTCATTCGCAACGCGGAGCACGCTAACAGTCTGTACATACTTGGATGCTCGCAGGTGGAAACCAGCGGTCCCATAGATCCAACGGTGCTCACCATGAAGACGAACGAGGAGCTGCGTCATCTGCTATCTGCCCTGCGTCAAAAAGAAACCGACGAAAGGGTGAATTTGAACTTTTCGCTGTACCATTCTCAACGGGTGATCGCGGAGGGCCGTTTGAACAACGTGCAGGCGAAGATACGACAGGTGGAAGCCGAATTCGACAGAAGGCGATCAGTTTCGATACCGGTTCCGTCGCTTACGTCCCGAGTTATCCAACAGTTTGCTGGATCCACTTGCACCTTCGGATACGCGCAGACCAAATTATTTGAGCCTTATCCCCCGGAAAATCCTCTAGAATCCCCAGATCCGTTCCTGTCGTGCATTCGCAACCCTAGGAGACTGTATTTGAAGCCTCGAGAGGAAACGACAGAGCAGAAGGATCAGAGCAAGACTACCGGCACATCACCTTGCACGGACACGGGCACAGGCGAGGGCGCAGTTAATAGCTCCAAAGAGCAGAGCGTTGGTCCACGTTCCAGCGACGATTCCTGCAGCTGCCATTCGTCCTCGGAGGACAGCATCGGGGACAAAAAAAAACTTCGTCTAAGAATCGATCGCGCAGGAAGGGTGGTCATAAGTAGCCCGACAGGACTGCAGCTCGCGTCCATGACGTATTCGAGCCCCAACGAACTGTCAACGTTGTTCCGCCCCACATCCGAGAGCGTAGATGACGAGGTGGAAATTCTGGAGATTCCTCCAGGTGAGGGTAAGAAGATAGAGCTCGTAGATCTGGATTCTGAGGAAGATAACACGGTAGACAAAGTGAACCGTGATGTGGATAAGGTACCGAAGACAGAAGGGAAAACGATCGATAGGCGCGTGTCCAGAGAATTCAAGGATAAGACACCAGACACACCGAAAGAACAAAAAACTGATGGACAGGTAGTAATTAAAAGAGAACCTGCAGATATGGAAGAATTTGATCTGAGACGCGTTAAAGCAGAACCGAGAAGCACCGAAAAGATAGAAACAGATATTCCGATCAAAGAGGAACCTATTGAAGACAAACGATCACCACTCGCCAAGATATTGCAATTAGGCTTGAGATCAAAGAAGATGAAAGAACAGAAAATTAAGGAAGAGATAGACTCGAGAGAACAAGAAACTCATGATGGACGGACACCGATTAAAAAAGAATCAGCAGATGCTGTAGAAGAATTTGATCTGAGACGTGTCAAGATAGAACAAAACGTGGAAAAAGGAGAAACGAAGACAGATGTTTCTATTAAAAAGGAACCTGTTGACAAACCAAGACGCTTGAGCAGAACAATCCACATAGGCTTGAATCCTAAGATGACAAAACGGCACATGGAACCCAAAGAGAATTTCAAGGAGATATCAGACTTAAAACAGGAAGCTGATGATGGACAGTTAGCAATTGAAGAACATGAAAGTGGTGCAAGAACGAAGAATATAAAAGTTGAAGATGTTAAGTACCAGAACGGAGAGACTGGTGAATTTGGTGCAGGTAGTTCGGCAGAAACCGGAAGACACGATGCAGTTTTAAAACCGGAAATGATTAAGAGGGAGAAGGAAGACGAATATAAAGAAGCAAAGGCAACTGTTTATACAAATGCGGGATTGAATATGTCGGAAGAAAAGAAAGTGAAAACAGAGTTGTGCATGGAACTCAAAGATAAGGCAATTGAAGATACTAAGGTACCTCAGATTGTAGATACTAAGGTACAGTTTGAAGATACTAAGGCACTTCAGATTGCAGATACTAAGGTACAGTTTGAAGATACTGAGGTACCTCAGATTGCAGATACTAGGGCACTGCAATTTGAAAATACTAAGGTACATCAAGAAGCGCCTGTCAAAGATGCTAAAGACAATGTAGTTATACCTCCTCCACTGAAAGCAAAAATTAAAGAAGAACCCGATGAGCCGAAAACTTTTTTCGGAGTAAAATTGAGGAAGACGGGATTACTACCAGAGCCAAAAAGCGAAGACGAATTTAATTTGGAGATTAAACAAGAACATGACGAAAAAAGTGGAACCAGTAAGCAAGGAATGTCTGCGGATGAACAGAAAATCGAAGGACAAGGTTCTTCCGAAGTAATGAAGAGTTATCTTGAAGTTGTATTAAAACAGAAGGAAGAATCTAATCCGAAAGTTGAAGACGATAAATCGAACGTGGGAAGGCATGGAAACGTGCAAATTGTTTCGATGATGAGGCATGTAGAGTATGATAGAAGTTATGGGGACTTTGAGGAGTGGATTGATGTTAAACACCAAACCCATGGGAAGTTGATTAACAAAAATCATCGAGAAGGCGGTGAGTATATCAAGTATTAAATATTTCGATTGTAATTTGACGTAAATAGACTCGTCAAGTAGAATTCTAGGAAACCAAGTTTCGTATTTATTTTTGTGGTATTTAGAGCACATTTTGAATTCTTCGTACGCTTTCATGAGGAACTCTTCAACTTCTCGTATAACGGTTGAAGTTTCATCGACGAAACGTTCGCACACAATCGAGAAGTGTTTGAATTTACTTCGATAGTTTATTAGAAACGCGAGGGTACTCTAAAATTCGTGAATTACAAGTGGGAAAGTTTTGAACATTTCTTAATCGATTGATGTTTTATACTGAATAATGTAATTTCATTTAATGGAGTAATTTTTGTTCTCACATGATAAAATCATTATTATACACGATAAATTCTTGAATCTTTTTATTAATTGCCTTCTACTGAAGTTTTTAAATATTTTATAAAAATATCTTACAAGTAAACTTTGAATTAAACACAAATGATAAAACGATACTGCTACCGTCATCTTGCAGCAAGTGGTGGAACCAGAAACAAAACATTTCTTTTTGTCACAAAATGATTGCAAAAAATCTTCTTTTTTATTTTTATACTATTTTCAATATATTATTCTATACTATTTTAAAATACATATAGAAGCGTGTTTCACTTTATTTATTAGCACATTAAATTATTTCGTTCTGATGTATCATAAGAACTTCTCAAACATTTATGTCAATAGTTAAAGAATTTAAGTTCTCATAACTTATTACATATAATTTTAATTACACACATACTAAATACTATCGTATAAATACTAAAATATAATATTTAATTTATAGACAAAAATGCGAACGACATCGCACGATTTCCGCCATTGCAACATACAGCACGAAGAACGGTGATCGATATCGCAGAAAATATATTCCATCAGAAAGAAATTGAATCAGACTGCTTGAATCTTCGTAATCGAAACACCTCTTATCCTGATTCAGAAACCGAAAACAGTATTGCCTCGACAATTTACTCCTTGATCGAAAATCCACTCGCCTCTTTAGGATCATTTTTATCAAACATACCAAACTTTCAAGACATCGTATCAAGCTTATGCTATAAACCATCGATTAAAAGTGAACATTTATCGAGTGAAGGAACGGAAAATAAAAAAATTCCTGAAGAAGACGACTGGATTTTGGTACCCTGGGATAATCTCGACGATGGCACTTCCACTGAAGGTCGCGAGGTTTTCAGCAACGTGCACGAAATGAAACAATCGATAATCGTAGACAAGGAGACTAAAAATTACGTGGTTATTGGAGGATCAATTAGCGGTCAATTTCGCGAATTGTCGAGGAATGGTTTGCATCGACCTTATCGCACTCGTAGAACCCTGATGATAAGAAGTCGATTAAAGAATCCAGGAAAATCGAGACGCGAGTCGCAACGTCCGTTCACGATCGTGAAACGACTTAGAAAAAACAAAATTTCCGTTTCCGAAGAAATGAAACCGAAGCCTCAACTAAAAGCGAGCGAACATTGTCACGTTGATACTGTGGAAAATCAAAATGATATAAATAGTAATAATGCGATGTTAAGTAAAAATTGTAGTTTCCTTTCGGTCGACCATTCATTGCCTGACAAAGAGAGCATGCACGATTTAGGGTAATAAACAGACGTAGTTGAAGAACGAATATCACGATTTTATTAGCGTTTGGCAGTAAAGTATAACACTGGAGATTAAAAAATAATGACATAAAAAAGATTCCAATTAGCTTGAAAATTCACATTTTTCTTTCTTTGTGCTAAATAAAATTCCAAATGTGGCTCCAGACAGCCGGAGCTGTTTATAAATAATAACATGAAGCCTTCTCGATCGGTGGATGTCTTTGGAAGACCCAATAATAAATGCAAACGCAAATTTGATATATTTATGCATACAGACATATTAATCGTGTTGGGAACACTGTCAATAGACGAGTATACATTTGTCTCGTAGCTGAAGGTGATTACAGCCGTTGAGCAAATGCGGTGTATCATTTCTTCTGTTTTTATTAATCGTTAATTCATTTCAATAACTGTAAACCATCTTCGGTCAATGGACCATAGTTATCGCTCTATAATAGCTGTCTACTGAGAATCTTTAGAATCATAGTGTATTAGTAACAACGCGACCACGTGGATCGAACGTTTTGAACACTCTCGGAATCGTACAACTGCTCGGTTTTCTTTTTTCGGAGGCCAAAATGAAGATCCTTAATTTATTATTCATCTCACGTGCTACCATCACACTCATTCGCATCGACGCAAAGGCATTCGATCCTTCAGACATCTTGGATTCAGACACCCGTACATTGTAAACTATAGTTTGTTCGAAATCGATCGCATCCATTCATCGACAATTTTTATTTTAAATCTTGGTACACGGTTCCGAATCATAATACTCTTCCTTAGAAAACAATTATTCCTTTATTAGTTCGTACGGTTGGAAATAAATTACAATGGACTCATGACCGCGAACGACGCAATAATTTTTCGCTCATATAATCGGTGACTATATAAAGAGATGTTGTTTACGATTGAACATCGAACGATAGAACCGATCACGAACAAACTATAATTAGAATTAATTCGATTCACGATCACCGTGTAATTTGTTATTCGATACGTTTATATATTAAATTTCTTACGAGCTAACAAATCTATTTAATAGTAAGTAAAAAATAAACGAATTCAACGCGCTCGTCGCGTTCAGAAGACTGACGTCGCGTCGTTCTGTAACAAAGTCTCGCGTACAATATTGGATTAAACAGGAGAATTACGAGATAACATTGTCACACCACACGGATGCAATATGTAGCTGCTTATAAGGTAGGGCAAAGGTATTAGGAGGATTTTCGGTGTTTAATACGTAAACATGATAAATATTAAGCAAGCAGAGGGCATCGGCGCTTAAGAATACAAAAATGTATCTGGGAACGGGTTTTCTTTATCTTTCTTTTATAATCACGGACACACGGATCGAGGACGTCGAAGAAACGTGTTAGGTACTGATTAGAGCCATATACACATTATATTACATGCTATCGAAGTTATAAACGGACTGTATACTTATATAAATACGCTACATACTTAGACGGCTAACCACTACTTTCAAACTAGAGACACGATTTCGCGAAGCGGACCTGATCATGGTTAAATTATTATAATTTAAGGGTAATAAAAACTTGATCGCGTTTTTCTTTCGGATACTATTGCAAATAATGAAAGGATGCGAGGAACTGAGTACATTGGCTTTGATTTTTCTGATAAATCGTATAGGTGTAATAATGATCGCGATTAAAAGTAAACGAGCTTATCTTCGATGGCGATGTAAGATACGAAAACCTATCATCGTTCGTAGATTTCTTTAGCAAAAGTTTGCCTGTTAAGCGTTACACACTTTTCTATTCCACTGAAACTTCCTATCTACGAATAAATATCATTAGTCCGTTATAACTGTTGTAAAAGTATTAAATAAGTGTTGGCTTCTATATATATATTACAGAAGAAAGATACGATATAACACGAAGGTCTATGATTGAATTACTTTTAAATACATAATATCCAATCGTTCGTATATAATTGCGTGACCGGATGCAATTGAACATAGACATTCGATAGCCGTGTAAATAAACAATCTTAACGAGCTAGTAACAAAAGGCATGGACAATCCTTGTTAACTCTCCTAAACAATATCGTCAACTGTACTCGAAATATCAACTGTTATTTTTTTCTTTTCTCTCTGATAGACGGATATGTACAAAAGTATTTACAAATACATTTACATCGCTAATATATATTTATATATATATATAGTCAAATATCTCACGGGACAACTTAAATAATCGTGTATAATGGATCAATAATTTAATTAAAAAATAATTCCTACGACAAATCTTTGATTAAAAAAAGAAACTTCTACGACTAACAAGTACTTGTAATCTACGATCACTGTAAACCCCCTTTGAACGATACAAAAACTTTTCAAGCTACCAACGGTAAAAATCTAGTTTTTTTATCCCTTTCTGTTTGCTCTACTGTTATGTATAAGTGAAAAAATTCTGATATTCAACCTTAATACAAGTTCACGTCCAAAAGATTACCTTACAATAGTTAGTTCATAGCGAATAATTATTTCTCATCTTTAAATTCAGTTCAATGTAAGGCGCTTCTTACACCTGGAAATATTTCTTGAGCCATAAAACGACGGCAACGAAAACAAAACAAAAACACAAGAAATTAAGTAATAAACAAGTATTTACGAAACTTTATAAATTCCCTTTCAAGTAATATACCTGAATTTCGGATGTACAAGTTGAACTTCTATTTCTTTTAAACATAAGAACTTCAACTTGGCCAAAGGCACGACTGACATATATCGAATTATACGCGATACATTTTCGTACGAAAAAGAAAGAGGCAAACTGAAAATACTTGAACTCAAAAAAAAACAAAAGGTATCAAAGTAACAATAAATACAAGCAACGCAGATAGTAATTTTGTACAATAAAAATGTACAAGAGAAAATTAGATTTTCTAGAAAAAGTGTTTAGAGCCATTACCTTAGCCCTTGCAAAACAAAAGAAGTATCGAAAACGCTAATTCCACCTGTTTGTCTTTTCTACATCGAGTCTACGGGCATATGATAAGTAGCAGTTTGTTTCGTTTAATTCACACCTTTGGTGTATTCAGCTTTCAGTTGACCCAGCACTATTTTTATATCGTAAAAAGTAGGTCGTTTTTCAGGTTGCAAGTCCCAGGCCTGGCAAAGAACAATAAATTAATAGAACGTTAATTAATAAATTAATACATTTTTCTACGTACTTGTCTCATAATATCGTAAACTTCGTGTGGACAACCATCTGGTGGTTCCATTTTGTATCCTTTCTCCACGCACTTTACAACATCGGCTAATGGCTGGAATTAACACATTCAAATTATAAAAACAAATACTAAGAAAGAAATAGTAATTACAAACGTAAATTAACACTCACAATTCGTGGATACGGTACACGCCCGAACGAGTAGATTTCCCATAAGAGTATCCCGAAACTCCACATATCAGACTTATTTGAAAACTTCTGAAAATAAGAAAGTGCAAATTACGTTTACACACGAACGAAAGGACGTTGTTAAAATGAGTTTAAATTAGTTCAACTATTCGGATAATTTTGAATTATATCAGATTATGAAAGACACTGTTTGGTGATACGGGTTTGCAATATAAATAAATGTTTGGTCCAAATTGTTAAACTATGCAAACTTTTGTAGACTCAATCGCTATTCGTAGCATTACATTCTGCTTTAAAGCCTCTGGTGCAGTCCATTTGATGGGCAATTTTCCACCTTCGAGAGAAAAGTTTTCGTCCCTCGCCAAACCGAAGTCCGACACTTTCGCCGAGTTATCCTCCGCGACAAGGACGTTCCTTGCGGCCAGATCTCGATGCACTACGTGTCTGGATTCCAAATATGCCATGCCCGCGCACGTGTCGCTAAAAACCAACGCGGAAACGTATATTTAACGACAGCTTTAGTTTGCGTTAAATATTTGAATACAAATGTTTGAGTAATGTCTGATAACCGCGTTACTACTGTGTTCTACCAAATAGTCGCTTAATTCCTACTAAATCTCCAAACTTTTCAAACTCTAAAAATTAGTATGCAAAAGCAATTGCTACGCAGGGACTCGAACGATTAAACGAAGAGAACAACAAAAGTGAGATCCACATACTACGCAAAGTTGATCTGGTCCTTTTTGGAAACGTGCAATCTCCCTCGCGATCTCAGGTAATCCACCAGGGATCCTTTGCTCATATACTCGGTAACCAGGTACATGTGTTGATTATTGAAAACGAGACCGAGCAACTTAACCAGATTGTCATGAATCAACGACGTCATTAGACTAGCCTCGGCAAGAAACCTCTGCGCCGCCTCGCTGTTGTCCTTCAGCATCTTCACGGCTACCCTCTCGCCTCGGTACACGCCTAACAGCACGTCCCCGAATTCTCCCTTGCCAATACACTCTCTTAATTCTAACTCGTGAGTCTGTATCACCCAGCCAGCCTCCATGAACGCCTTCGGATCCACACAGAAGTCCTGTTTGCCTTGTTTCGGCAACGATTTGGTCAGCTGCGTGCACAGACCGTCCGCGTCTTGCTCGTAATGCTCCACCAACAAGGCCAAGTTCTCGAAGAACTCCTCATCATCGATCGTCAGCTGATTGTTCTTATATTTCACTCGATAATGCTGCACGCGACCCTGGTAGCACACACACAGCGTATAGTCGCCAGGGAAGTTGGTCGACTCACGGACTAGGAACAGACCGTCTTCTCTCGGTCGCAACAATCTCTCAGCAGTTTCCCTCGATATTTTCCCGTGAAACCATCTGTAATATCGGACAATTGAGTTCATCAAGAGTCTGGGTAAAATCAAACGTATGAACACTAACACGAAATAACTGGAGGATCGAGTATCAACTGTGAAGAGGATGACAACAGAGAGCTTTGAGATCAACTTGCATTGGGTACTTCGAATTTTAAGAGTCTTAGAGTTTGAGTCTTAGACTGTTTCAAATCCCAAACACTGCTAGTCTGTTCAAATCACCGATGCAGCTGTGTAACATTGCAGCAGTCGTTTTCAAAATGCTTCTGCAGGTGATACCAATATGATCCAGCAATCTGTCGATCCAGCAGTGATTTCGTGACGGGTGTTATCATTGGATCAAAGAGATGATACGTACGGCATAGCGTTCAGTTTGACCTCGTGCCTCGGATTCACCGATAACGCAGCGGGATTGCTAGGATTCGCAAGGTTGGTCGAGGTGAGGATTACCGGCGGCGATCCGGTGTTCATGTGACTGGTTATATTAGGAGAGGTGACGTTCGAATGCGTAGTCATCGTCGGTGATACTGGATGGGACGGAATGTTGCTTGCAGACAAGTTGGAAGGAACGTTGTGTTGCGTGCTATTTTGTATAAGGGGATGGGACGTTACGTTTGAGGGGATCGTATGGTGATTTTGATTGCCATCGAGCTTCGCTTGCCGCGCTGCCGCTGACACATTCGGGTATCCGCCACCCGCATTGTGGTACGTTGGCATCGCAACTCCCGCAGTGGCCTTTCGCGAACCTGCAAATGACAACAAAATCCATTTAAACGTCGCCCCTTTGATACCAGCCTGCCAAACATCTACCTTTCAATTAATTCATTTCACCGTTGCCTCCCACTATTTTTTACTTTCATGTTCGAGGAAAAAAGACGAGAACAAACGTTTCATTCTACTAGACTAGGACAGTACGTAGAAAAGGACATAATGTTCGTTTATAGGGTCATTAGCTTTGACGTTTCATTTGAAATCAATCCACCCTAACGCAAATGTCTCTGCGAATTAAACTGAATACTTTCAAGTAAATAAACAATGAAAGTACTGGTGAAAATAGAAACCCTTAAATGTAATATTATACTTAAATGCTTAAAGTGTTAGTAGAAAGTTTGATAGATCGGTAGATAAATTAGATCGACTGGAAAATTGAATCTGACACAATAAATAGCTGAAACAGTAATCTAATACCATTGAATAATGTTGATGATACCAGGAATAAATTGCACCGTACGAAGTTTCATTTCTTAATCAAAAGTTCGATCAGACCAAATAAAAGTTTGCTAAGTTGAATTTGATTACAGCCTTTCTCAAAGTAATAAATTACCTTTTCAAGCCTTAAATCTTGCAGGAAAGACGAACCTGACTCGGTCTACTCTCATTCTCACGCATTGTTTCCCGGACGAAAGATCGGGGCGGCAGGAAACGTTAAACGAATCTTCGCTTCCCAGAGGCATTTGCATAAAATATTCGCTCAAGCACCTCTGTAGAACGTTAATCAAACGTGACACTGTTACGTCCTATAGTAGAGGATCGGCTAGAGCGCGATCTGTATTAACATGAAACGCGATGTATCGTTAACCGATACGCAAGACGAAGCGAAAAAGAGAAGGCACGGCTATCGTGTATCTCAAAGACAAAATCAACTCTGGAACCACATGCTCTCGAACCGACCAAGTCCCCCACGATGAAGCGAATCTTTATGGTTTGTTACTCGAGAAACCAGATATCTAAAGCGCGGACTCAGCGAACGAACCGCAACGAACATCAATGGAACGTTCTCTTGATAAGTTTCTTTTCAATTACGAAAATTATCTTCGCCGGGCTAAATAAAGTGATCCTCTGTCCGGTAGTTAGCCGATAACGTTACATTTTGCCTACTTTTCCTTTATCGTGTTGATGTCGGGTATGTTCTTATTAAGGATTCTAGATGTCTTATCTTCTTAAGATTGATCTGCAAATGTAAGTTCGATAAACAGTATGCTCGCGTTATATTGCCATTGGTGCAGAATTTAGTATAACGTGTAATTATACTGTATGCAGTATATGATATTACACGCGGTAATATAGCGTGTAGCGATATAGCACGCGGTGATATAACATGTAGCCTGCTGACGTGCACTGATTACATCGATTCAGATGTTACTAATTGCGATTTGACACGTAGAAAATTCGTACGCGGTGATATGGTGCGCGGCAATATAACAAATTGTAATTTGAAGAGCAGCGTTATAGCACTAGCTGATATGGTACACGATGACATAACGTGCTATGATTCGACACGCGGAAAATTAGTGCGCGGCGATATAATCCGAGGCGATATAGCACACTGTAATTTGAAACGCAGCTTTATAACGTACATTGATTCAATTTATAATCCAGAGGATAAAAGTCTGATATGTGGAAATTTCAACACGTGGCAATATAAAGCACGGCCATAGAATGCATGGCAAAATAGAGACAGACCATGTAACTTATGAAAATATAAAAACTCTCATTATAATATTGTACTGCCACAACTTATGACAATATAACGTATAACTATATGAGCAATTATTTGTATAAAAGTCTGCGTAAGAATGGCAATATAACGAGAGTATACCAAATACAACTTTATCTTATTAAATTGATACACATTACAACAGTATTCAATTTTATATTAGCGTACAAATTTATATCATTAGCATAACGCCTACCATTGGTCCACTATCTACTAACATTATCCAATTGTACAAATATGAAGCGCCTCCTATGATCTCAATGATCAATGTACATATCAACGCTTCCACCTATCGTACATAGAAAACGTTTATCTGTTGTATTTAATAAAGAAGAGACCTTATATAGCAAGTTAATAATGGGCATTCTACTACCCACAACGAAAGTGTGACTCGCACTCGTCACATTTAGACCGTAACCTACGCCACAGGTATGACTGGATGTCACAAGGCAATGGGTTAAAACTGATCAAGCGAAACGTGCGCACGGTGCGTACCATATTTAATCGTGCATCCGCGACGACCGAGGTGAGCATTTAATCAGCCGGTTAGTTTAAGTGGCCATTGTTCCAACGCGCACGCTATCCGCTCATGTACCGTCCGCATTATAATGCGCTAGACACCCATAGACGACGGACATGCGTGAAACGTGAATCACTCTTGGTGTGTATTTTAGAAACGACCGGGAAACGAAACGAACGTATGTACTTGCTGGATGAAACCGAGCGACCGAGAATCGCCTTAACCCATTAACGCGTTGAGTACCGTGCGACTGATGCTTAAAAACGGATCGCAAAGTTATGTTTAATTAATTACAAAATACCACAATTATTCATTGTAGTATATATTAGAAATTAGGAATCTAAAAATTAAAAAATTTTTAAATTTACTCCCTGAAAGAAGTGAATTGAACAGCGACTTTAAACTCATCGTAGAAAAACACTGATTCTCTTACAAAAAAAGATTCATTTACATCGTAAACACGGTGAATCAGCGTTCAAGCAGTCAGGATAGCCTGTTGAGGGAATTACCTTCCTCTGGCGTATATATCGTGATAAAAATCGACCCAGCAAGTAACAGTATAAAAAGTGATGTGTTTCTAGAACGTCTCGCGAACCAAATGCGCCGTTTAAGCATTGCAGATATCAGACAACGTGATCACGATACGCTTGCAAAGCATAACGAGGTTTAAATTACCATTTTCCATAAGCTCTGTTCTGTAACCAAAACTCTCCGTGACACTTTGAGAAATACTGTAACGTTAGTCCAACGGTAGATTCGTGTAAACAATAACAAATAATTCGTAGAAGTTAAAGCATAAAAAATATTCGTCTCATTTATTCGAACACGTCGTCTTGTTTGTGCAACATACAAATCTCGGGCTTATCGTGGATTTTATGACAAGTTGTAAAAGAGAATAATGTTTTCACGACTATCTGGATTTCAGCGCGCATAATCAGAAGCGCTTAAGAAACAAATCCGTCGCAAGAGCAAAAATATTGAATAATTCAAGCGGAGTTTATCCTTGGTCGGTGTCTATGACGAGTGCGTTATGTCACGCTAAAATGTATACCGGACATACTGATACGAAAATCGTCATTACATAAGTACGAATTTACCATCGCGATTCGTTATACCGTTTCTCGAATTAAAAAAAAAAACTTGAGCAAACATTCTCGTCGATTGTTCCCTATCTGTACGATACATACCGCACACGTATTTCGAACGTGACACAACCCAAATAACACGACTTTCGAATTATCGACATAAGAATGCTGCAGAGATAAGTATTCGGACAATTTGAGAACGTAAAATTTTCAAACTTGAAAATTTGTGAATATGTAATTTCTGAATTTTAAAATTTGAACATTTTGAAGTTCTTATGTTGAACATTTTGGAAATTGTTCAACACAATATGTTACCTCGCGTTACATCACCACGCAATATGTTACCTCGCGTTATATTGCCACGCAATATGTTACCTCGCGTTATATCGCCACGCAACACATTAACTCGAGTTATATTGTCGTGCAGAATATTATCTCGCAGTATATCGCCACAGAATGTTACCTCGCGTTATATCGCCGCACAATATATTACCACGCGTTATATTGCCACGCAACGTATTAACTCGTGTTATACTGCCACGCAGGATGGTACCTCGCGTTATATCGCCACGCAGCATAGTACCTCGCGTTATATCACTACGCAGCATAGTACCTCGCGTTATATCACAACGCAGCATAGTGCCTCGCGTTATATCACGACGCAGCATAGTACCTCGCGTTATATCACAACGCAGCATATTAACTCGCGTTATATCGCCATCAGAACATTACTTCGTGTTATATCACCTTGCAATATATTACCTCGCGTTATATCGCCACAGCATATAAACCCGCGTTATATCGCAATGCAAAACATTGTCTCACGTTATATCGCCGTGCGCAACATTACCTCGCAGTATATCTCCCCTTATATCGCCAATTTCTAAATCTGTTCTCTTCTACAGTCAAGTCACCGGTAATATAACAGTATACATTAAATTCTGATAACGATTACAGATCACATTCATAACAGGTAAGATGTTAATAATCGATGATTAGATATCATACATTGTGTACCATACTGTACACAATTTTCGTGATAAGAACGAGCGTGTTAAGTGAAAAGCACCTTTATGAAGAACAGGAACGTGTAATCGATTCGTAACGACCTTATCCACGATGAAATTTCCATAGGCTCTTTATTGAGGCAGCAGTAAAAAAGGAAAAAAATACTGATCTTGAGAGATAGATCTCCAAAAGGATGCCTCGAGGTTGGCGCTTATAAAGAGAGCATTCATTAGCGAAGGCTAGAGCAAAGTGCTTCAATGTGGGATATCTATCAAGGATTGAGCCATGCGTTACTCGTGTGTGTTCGGTACATATCTGTGAAATTAATTAAGCATATGCAGAGTACATTAAAATAAAACGTTAGTAATCGAAGATGTGCAACTGCTCGGAAGTTGATAACGTTATCTTGGAAACAATAATACATTGATAACGTTACATGATATGCGTACGTGTACATACATATATGCATCAACGATGTATCATTTTCAAGGAAGCAACGAATGAAGTTTTCGTTCGTTTAGTCTATTCATAGAAAAAGATTTTTTTAAAAGGATTTTTCATAGAAGCTCAACACTTTTCTGCTACAAATATATACCTATGACTGCGTACTAGAAGATAACAGTCATTTTGAACACT